CATCCCATGGTGTTGTTTGGAGGATTGCATGAGCTAAGGCACTTGATGCACTTAGCACAGTGTCCGGCACATGTAAAGCATAAATGTTAGCTTCTGTTAATACAGTTGTATTTGTCTTAATGTGATAAAGTCCACCGCGGCCCAACTGGAGGGCCCAGGAAGATGTGTGGGTTTAGCTTGCAGCTTCAAGTAGCCACCAGCACACAGGTGGGTACCTGGGCGGTGCATTTACCCAGTTTCAGAGACTGAGGGTGGCTTTCTGCCCTCTCTCTTCTCAGGGTGGAGGAGCAGGGAATAAACAGCCAGGACTTCCAGGCCTCTCTTCTTCCTACTTCCTTCCCCAGTCTCCACCTCTCACCACATCCTGAGGAAGAACAAAACAGCAGATGGGGGAAATGAAACAGGACCAGGCTGAGTGGTTTCACAACAGCGCCCAGCGCTCAGCTCCCAGCTCCCAGCTCCAGCTCCAGCTCCCAGTGGCTGCCGAGGCAGCATGCTGTCACAGAGCCTGGCCAGGACGCGAAAGAGCCAAAATGACAAATAGCTTTGGCTTTGTTCTGCTTTCTTTCTGTGGTGGCAAGAGGGCAGGACCCACGGAGGGCAGAAATCCTCTGCACTGCCCACCCCTCGCTGCTGGGATGGTGGTATCTCTAGGCAGCTGGAAAAAGCTCCCTCCCTGCCCCCAGCCTGCTTCTCAACTGGCTACCTGCTCCCTTTACAGGAGAGTGCCTCTTGGGGAATTTTCATGACACACTGAGTCCGGGATATATGGGGATGTGGGATTTGTGTGTGAGACGGAGGAGCCTGCTTTCCTGGTGAGGTCACTGTTCCTTATTACCTTGCTTTCCTTGGCCTGAGCTAGCAGCAGAAATGCCTTGAAGGAATGTTTGTTTATGAAACATCTGCCTAGTTACACCCACACAGGCCAGCTTGCCGCGGGAACTTGATGGCTCAGTAGTGCTTAGTTCTGCGGGTACCGACCCTGTTACCTGCCTCAAAATAGGAGGGCTGGGACTCAGCTAAGGCAGGATGGGCGGGGGACGCTTCCCTCGTGGGGCTGGAGCATGCAGGCAGGGCCTGTGGTCTCCTGGGCCAATGTGCTTTGTAGGTTTCATCCGTGGGCTAATTTTGCTGGCAGGAATGCAGGCAACAAGCCAAGAGCCGCATTTGGCAGCAGGCAGGCGGCTCCAGGAGAGAGAGTCATTCAAATTCAAAAAGCTGGTCATCATCCCCCACTTCTTGCTTGTAAGCAGAGGTCACTGGCCTGCACTGACCAGGCGGGGCGTCTGGCCACCTCGGGCTGCAGCACTGGGGAGCAGGTAACTGGGGCCTGGCCAACCTGGAGCCCCTGCCTGCCAGTCGCTGGCGAGCCTGGCCCCGGGAACCTGGCACGGGAGCTCTGCAAACGGTTCTATTTTCAGTCCCCGCCTAGTTTTTCAGCCCTCACTCCTGTCTTGAGCTGCCTGAGTCACTTCTCCCCACGCCCAGCTCTGCTTCTTTCTGAATGGAGTGGATTAGCATAACACCATATGTTAGAAGTGCGATTCACAATTTACAAAGCCTTTTATACACCAGCTCTCTTCTGATCTTTCATCAGCCTGTGAGGTTGACTGGGCAGGTAATTTAATCCACATTTCACAGATGAGGGGAAATAGGAGCTCAAAGAAACTCAGGCAGCTTGACCAACGACTCTCTCTCTCTCTCTCCAGAAAGTGTGGGGCTGAGTCTTGGGGCCGGGCATTCTGCCTTGAATCTGGTGCTCCTTCACCATGCAGGGTCCACTGTCCCACCCATCTACACTGTCCTGGGTGTCCATGGTGTTTGGGGCTGGTGAGTGGGACTGCAGCACCACCTGTGGGGCCCATTTCCCTTCTTCTTCATGGAGGACATCTGCTTCTAGGGAGTATTGCACCTTGAATCCAAGGAATTTAAAATGCTGGTGGGGAACAAGTAGGGTTTGGGGGATAAGTAGGGCTCTAGGCAGTGAGGAGAAATAGCCTGAAGTTGTTTCCCCATTTGGGCTCCTAACCCTTCCTTCCCTTGGCATTTCACCTCCTTCCTTTCACCTTACCTGCCAGTCCCTACGAAAACCTCCTCTCCATTCCTTCATTCACTTACTGTAAGGTATAAATGACTGATGAGTTTAAAGGGTGATCCCACTCTATCTTAGCCTGCCTGATAATTATGTGGTCTATAATTCAACTTAGAAGACAGGTGCACCCAAATGCATTGCTTCCAGAGGACAGTCCAAATTTTTAATAGGAAGAGCATGGACAAATGACCAATGAGGACAAATGCCAGCTGCCATGCTGAGCAGGTCCTGAAACCACCCTCACCCTGCTGCTGCCCACCCCCCCCCACACACACATTGTGCCAGGCATTACCCACAGCTGCTGATCTGTGGGGAGGTCAGCGAGAGTCCTGGGGAGGGCCTGGGTAATCAGGCCAACAGGGGACAGGGGATGCTTCGGGGAGCTCTGGGATTGGCTGGTACCAGTCAGTGTTGAGGCATGCGGACATGTTCGCACATGTGCAGTCGTCCTGGTGCAGACCAGCTGCATGTCAGCATTGATTATTTCATTTAATCTTTCCTAGGACATTTGGAGCAAGATACAACTTTTTCTTTTCAACTACTGAGGGCTGGGCACGGTGGCTCACACCTGCAATCCCAGCACTTTGGGAGGCCGAGGCTTGAAGCCAGGAGTTCAAGACCAGCCTGGCCAACATGGTGAAACCCCATCTCTACTAAAAATATAAAAATTAACTGGGCGTGGTGGTGGGCACCTGTAATTCCAGCTACCCAGGAGGCCGGAGCAGGAGAATTGCTTGAACCTGGGAGGTGGAGGTTGCAGTGAGCTGAGATAACGCCACTGTACTCCATCGTGAGTGACAGAGTGAGACACTGTCTCAAAAAAAAAAAAAAAAATCATTCTTTTCAACTACTGAGGAAACTGGGTCTCCATGAGGTTCAACAGCATCTGCACCTCTCAGAGCCAGTGAGTGTTTCTGGCAGTTGGAAGGAAGTTCGGAGCCTGGGGCACCCAGGATGGAGGCCCTGAGTGGGAAGGAGGAGGTGGGAGTCCTGGCAGGCAGAGGACATGATGAGGGGTCAGGTCCTGCCAGAGGTCAAGGAGCAGAATGTGGGGGAAACCAGGGAAAGGAACAGAAGGAAAAGTGGTGTGTGTGTGTTTTGAACAGGGAAGATGGGGGTCTGTGGGGTGCAGGTGAAGACACTGAGAAACTGAAAGCAAACCTGCCCTCAGCAGGGTTTTGTTGTGGCCAAACTGGTCCCAGTGAGGCAATGAAACCATTCCCGCTGTTTGCTTTCCCGCTGGCCTTTATCTGAATGTGGTCACCTGGGAGGTGTGGTCACACTGGGAGCAGTCACTGGGGCATCTGTGATTTTAGAAATAGCTGTATCTTGTCCACTGGGGGCTGCTGATGAACTCCTGATGTCCCCAGACCCCATGCCAATCATTCCATTGCCTGGCTGGGGCAAATCCTGAGCTCGGTGGAGTCTGGTTGAAGACGAAGTGGGGCCTCTCTCTCTGAAGAATGCCCAGGGCTCAGGCAGTTGAATAGAAAACTCAGTGTGCTTCTCTGTGGATCCAGTCCAAAGCGTTGGTCAGCATTTGCTCAGAACTCTGGGTACTCCTGCCTAATTAGGGCCAGGCAGGGTCCAGATCCTGGTCCTTCCTGGAAAAGTGAGGCCCTTCCTATCCCTCCTTGGGCTCCTCTGGGCAACTCCCCCAGGGGAGGCAGATGAGCCTTATGACAACTGTGCTCCAAGGGGCCAGCCCAGGCCTGGGGAAATGGTGCTTGGCTTTCCAGAACTGCCCAGGTCCTGAGAAGTCTGAGGGGTGTGGGAAGGGCCCATAATGGGGGGCAGTGGGAGCCTCCTGGCTTGGCTCCCTGACGAGGACATAGGGACGTGGCTGGTGCAGCTCAGCTACCCAACTGATGACCTGCCGCATGTCAGGCTCCTTCTGCTGCCATTTCTCACCCTCCCTGCTCCCTCCTGACCAAGGGTATTAAAAGGTATGAATCTTGTCCCGGGTCCAGTGTAACAAAAATTTAAATAAATTTCCAGGCATGTGGCCTGGTCTGCAGAATGAGAGCCTTCTCGCTGTGCATTGTGGTGATGGAGTCAACCACAAAGCTCTCAGTGGTTTGCAAAACTCAATGCAAATTCTAATCCTTAGGAGAGTCATCTTTCTGCCTGTGTTTTTTCCTCGCTTGTCCTTCGGTCTCTGCCAATTTCAAGGAGGCAACGTGTCACATGATTCCTTTTAAAGTTGGGCTCTGGCTGGTGCTGCTTTTCCTACCCACTGCCCATCTGCCGGCTCAAAAGACAACCTGAGTGCTGGGTGGGGTGGGGGAACCGCCACAGTGAGTGCTCAAGTAAGAACAGAAATATTTGACTGGACTGGGTCCTAACAGAGGCGATTTTATTACCCTAAATGTCCTGGAAACCCTGTTGCCTCTGGCTAGAGAAGACTCCAGGCTTGGTCATTCCCGGATGACCTGCTGCAGCGAGCCTTGGCGTCCTTCTGCAAGTGGCTGTGACATGAGTCATGGGGGAAGTCTCTAGCGAGGCTGAACAAGAGGTGGGTACAGAACAGGGAGGTTGCATCTTCTCCCCATCAAAGGTGAGAGACCAGCAGGCTGACAATAGCCACTGGACCCCCTGGGGCTTATGGTGGGGACCAAGGGGTCAGCATCAGCAGTAGGAGGTCGAGCCTGGGGAGGACAGGTTAGGCCAGTCCAGGCCCTGACAGAAGTGACCCTGCTGTTAACTGCTGAGCAGTGCCCATAATATCAAAACCAGACATTGCCTTAGGATGGAAAGAACACGCTGGGTTCTTTCTTACCATCCTTCTCATTTAAAGGAGCAGTGAGGTCCAGGTTCCTAAGTCTTTCCCTTTGTGAAAGTCACCACTTTTATTTCATGAGGGAGCCTAGGCATGCTCTTACGGTGGCGCATTAATGTCACAAACAAAGCAGATTTTATTTTTATTTGAATTGGCCAAATAAAATGTTCTATACAAGGCAAACAGTTCAACATGAAATATTTAAATTAAAAATAAATTACTTCCATCCTATATAAATCTCTAGCTGCCACATACAAATGAAAGATATCAGTTATAAATGAAATAAATTAAAATAAATGGTTGTAAGGAGCTAGGTGTGGTGGCATGTACCTGTCATCTCAGCTTTCAGGAGACTGAGGTGGGAGGATGGATGCCTTGAACCCAGGAGTTTGAGACCAGTCTGGGCAACATAGCAAGATCCTGTCTTAAAAACAAACATCATTGTAGGATCCTCTGTTACGACCAGCATAGGTTACTGGTTTGCTCCCTAACTTGGTTCTGGACTCCAACATCTCTATTGAATAAGATTATTGAACAGTCCTTTGGGACAGCCCCTTCTTAAAAGAGCACTTGATGCCCAAGTCTCCAAATCACGTTCAGGTATGAGGATCAGGTGTTCAGAGTCTAAAACAATGGTTGAAGAGCAGAGAATGCAAGGTGGAATCCCAGAAGCCCAGGCTTCTCAGCCACCCTCTGCATTCTTATGGTTCACCTGGAGATATGGAAACAGGGAACTCAGCAAAAAAGCATGCATAGGCACAGAGCAGCAGTCACACATAGCAGTTGAGTCTGAGACCTGTAATGTGGCCAAACACTTCTTTGTACCAACATATGGCAATTTCCAGCACTGTCTTAGGCTGAATTTACCATAGGATCTCTGGTTTCATTAAGTGAGCTAGATTAATTTAAACCTCAGAATTAGAAAACAAACCTTTGGGGGCAGAGTTTAGGCCACAGATGACAAATATACAAGGCATGTGTCAACTAATCCCTCCATGGGCAAGCATTACTAACTGACCACTGCATTCTTCTATCTCAGATTCCATCTCTACACAGCACTTCGGGCAGCCTCTACCCATCAATCATGTTTAGTGTTTGGGATGAAAATCATTTATTAACCTTGGTCCTTCTCTATGTTCTGAACTATTTTGTGTGAAGGAGTAGCTGTAACACAGGCATCGAAGCCTGACACTCACATGAGTTAGGTGCCTTAGTCTAATCATTTAACTCCTTTGAATTGGCATCCATTAAATGGATAGGGCCACCTAATAGAATTGTTAGAAAGATTAGGATGATACATGTAAATTGCCTAGTATCATGCCTGAAACATAGTAGGCATTTAATAGATGATAGCTATAATTATCATTATCATCATTATTATTATGTTATAGTTTTAAGGCTACTAATGTTGACAATGGAATTGATGATGACATTTTCATTGATAGAACAAAAGCATAGTATCATATATGAGGTTGAACCATATGAAATTGATGCTTGTTTTTGACCTACAAAAATGGCAACTTTTTCTGGTTCAAGCTAACATATAAGATATAATAATGTATTTCATTCAAATCCCTTACTTGTTCCAACATTATCAGTCTTCCCTTCAATGGTTGCCCCCAGAGACACACTCTCTCACCATTTTAAAATTTCCCCAAATCAGTTGCTAGAGAGTAGGCAAAGCAGGTAGTCCCCTGGAGAGAAGTTGAGGACCTGGTGTCTGGTTCCACTATCTGGTATCTGGTCCCGTAACCTCCAAAGGCCTCCATTTCCCCCTCTGCAGATTGGGAATAATTGTGCTTTCTTCCACAGGGGTTTTGTGAAGATAAGAGATAATGGATGAGAAAGCACTTTCAAAAGTTCAAATTATTATACCAAAGCAAGGGATTATTGATTCTACTAGACTATGCCACTTCAGAAAACATTAGCAGTCAACATTTAACTTTTAATGTTTTTCTATAGAAAAACTGCACATAAAAGAATAGAGAGTTCATGCAATCATGCCAAATGGCCATGAAAATCAACCTTGAATATACTCTCAAGTGGATATTAGAACTACTAACTTAATATATAGTGCTTTGTCCTTGAAACTTGTACCTTGTCAAGGTGAAGTAAATGCAGTAATGGAAACAGTAAGAACCATTGTGTTTACAAGTGCCTCAAAGTCAATTTACACTAGAAAATCACACACTTTAGAGCAACTCACAAGGAAGACAGAGGAATTGCTTTTTTCCTTCCTTGGAGGTCTTTAAAATGAGCTGAGAAAGTTTAATTTTTTGCTTAAAGATAGAGATACAAACTTTATGACCTCCCAAAGTCACTTTCAGACCAATGGCTTTAGCAGTTCTAAGAAGGGACAGTTTTATATTTTGCCTTCGAGGGACATTTCTTTCCTGTGCTCTATCCCAGGGTGATCAATGAGTGAGGGAGGATAATGGGTTTGGACCAGCTACTAGCAGAGGTGTGTGTGGCTCAGTTCCAATCCTGAAGTGTTTTCCTCTTGTTCAGGGAACCTCGGCCAAAACAGGGCACCTGAAGAGGGTCACCTTTAGTCGGCCTCAAAGGCGCTGTTGGTGGCTCCCACATATTCAGACTTCTTCTTGTGCCTTGTCCACATTTTCCGGAGGATGCCGGGGACCCCGCAGGAAGCACTGCCCGTCAGTGGTAGAGAGGCTTCCACTCCTTGGGGAAGGGCTGGATACTCCTCAGTCATCTTCTTGAGATGTCTGGATCTAAAGAAAAGCCAGGAGTGGGTGGGGAGGGTGGTCCGCTCACAAGCCAGACTTCATTTTTGCCCTAGAGAAGAGTGGCCAGAGCTCTATCTCCTCTGCTCCTCCTCTGTGACCAGGATCCACATAGCTGTAAGGTCACTGTAGGGACCCTCACAGGAACGGCTTCCCCTGGGGAAAGCTTCCCATGGTGTGAATGGAGGAGGTGGCCCTGGACACGCTGGTTCAAGGATTTCAAGTTCTGCTCCTGTCCCCCTGCTCTGGGTCTGGTCTTGCCAAAGGCTCTGCATCCCTACCTCTCCAGCCTCTATGTGAACAAACTTGCTGGAAAGGACAGGTCCCCAAGCAGCAGCTATTGAAAAAGCATGAAGTCTGGGATGGGTTCCTGCTTCCCATCTGCTGTGTGACCTCAGGCAAGCCACTTAACCTTTACCAGCCTCAATTTCTTCATGTGCAAAATGGGGATAATCTCATCTAACTCAAGGGGCTTTTTGGAGGAGGAAAATGAGAGAGTGAAGCATCTGGCACACTGTGGGCCTCAACATGTGTTCATTCCCTACACCCTTCTCCCCTTAGGTGAAAGAAATGGTGGCCTTACTTTTCTTTTCTGCAACCAGGGTCCAGGAACAACTTGAAATGACAATGATTGAGTTTAGAGAGAAGGGAGCCATTTAGAACCCTTTGCAATGCAGCCATGTGGACTGAAAGGGTGGCCTCTGTCACCGCACAGTGAAGTTTTTGCTTGTTTACACCAGCAGTCAGCAACAGTCGTTGCCACTTAAATATTGTACCTCATTAAGATAAAATAAATATGATCCAATCTTTTTGGATATTTATTGGATATAATAGAATCAAAGAAAAAAATTTTTTGTTTTCTCCAGTTAAGTCCCCATACATTGAGTGACACATGACTTGGTTTTTATAATTCTTTCTAGCCAACCTTCTGTCACTCAGAAGTGCTCCTCACTAGCCTGTTCTTGCTCTGACCTCCCATTGCTTTCAAAGTGTGCAGTGCTCAGGCTGACGGTGTAGTCTGCAGCCCCACCTGCGTGCATCCAACATGTTCCCAGGTGCATGGCTTCCCAACTACTAGATGAATTTCCTGAAACATGTTGACAACAGCTTGTACTAAGCTCTCCACACATTATCTCTTTCAATTCTCAGGCCGGGTGCGGAGGCTCATGCCTGTAATTCCAGCACTTTGAGAGATCAAGGCAGGTGGATCACTTGAGGTCAGGAGTTTGAGACCAGCCTGGCCAACGTGGCGAAAACCCATCTCTACTAAAAATACAAAAATTGTCTGGGCATGGTGGTGGCCATCTGTAGTCCCAGCTGCTTGGGAGGCCAAGGCTGGAGAATTGCTTGAATACCGGAGGTGGAGGTTGCAGTGAGCCAAAATTGCGCCACTGCACTCCAGCCTGGCGACAGAGCGAGACTCCCTCTCAAAACAAAACAAAACAAAACAAAAACCAAAAAATTAATTCTCACCACAACCCCCTAAGATGGGTACTCCCTGTGATTCCTGTTTTACGCTTTTGTTTTTGAACGGATGGGGACAGGAAGGCTGAATAACTTGCCTGAAGTCATGGTGGGTCGGTGGCAGTTCCAGCCTAGAAAGCAGATCTGAGAAAAGAACCTAACCCTTCGCCACCCTGAAATGCCTGTATTGTGGGGGACGTAGTCCGGGGCATACAGGTATGTGCTGAATCGAGTTGAAGACTCACTGTCTTGGTGCAAGGCAGAAGGCAGTGTCACTGAGGGGTGTTGGGGTTATCCACTCCTGCCTCCCTAACTGCCGGTTCTGGATGAAAGCGAGTAGTCACACTGCAGTTGCAAGTGTGGTTTGAAACCTCTGTACTTGACACACTTCTTAACTGGTGGGCAGGGGACCCTGAACTTACTCATGAGACATTTCTGATGCCCACATGCTTATGGGAGGTTCTGAATATGGCTCGTGATTACATTCATCTAATTAACCAAAAAACCTCCCAAATGACTTCTCCAAGCCTAAAGAGTGGCGTTAATGAAGTGGAAACCATGAAAAACTCTCCCATTTAATCCTACGGAAACAGTTGATGAGGCACTGCAGAGACCCAGGATTATTGGCCTCATTAAAAGGTAACTTGCAGCTGGCATGGGTTTGTGTCAGCCTCTCCAGGGTCTGTCAGCCAGGCGGCCTGGTGCTCTTCTGGGGAAGGAAGGATCAGGACAGTGGGAGGCCACAGGCGGTGGGGCCAGAGATGCAGCACTTACCCTCTCATCAGAACAGCTCCCTTCTCTGTGCCCATGACTGTCGCCTCCAACGAGGCAGAGGTCGGAGTTTTCACTGAGATCCGGGGCACTGGCGGAATCTGCCATGAGGAAGCGGGAGGGAGTGTGAGGATGCATCTGCCTTCCCACTCTGGCCCTGACTGAGGCCGTCTGCAAGTGGGGATGACTGAATGGAACCACCACCGCCCGGGCATAGTCCTCATCATTCAGCAGGTGTGGGACTGCCTGGGAGGGCTTGATAAACAGTGCCGGGCCCCACCACCCCAGCTTCCGAGTCCGTGGGTCTGCTGTGGGCCTGAGAATCTGCATTGCTAACAATTCCCCAGATGCTGCTGGTGCTGCTAGTCCTGGGACTCCACTTTGAGCCACTGACCTAGAGAAACTCAGGAGAGAGAAACAAGAAACTGGAGACAGCGCAGCTCAGTCTTATGTGGCAACTGCCACCCTCACACTTCCATCATCACTGGTGTCCAATTTGTTACTAAATTCTGCAGATTCTTGCTTTGATTAGGCTGCGTAGGGTAGGGCCAGCCCAGCCTCTCCGTTTCCTCTGCTGCAGCCTTCAAGCGACAGTGACCTCGGACCTCCTTGCTTCCGAGCAGATCTACCACATTCCTCATGCCCCTCCTTGGGCTCTAGAAGCATAAGTCACCCCCACCCCCGCCCAACCACCTTGCAGGGCAGATTGACTCTGCAGCTGTTCCTCCAGGCTCCTCAGCACAGGACGTCCTCATCTATGCAGCTCGGCCTCCCATTGGTCCCTGTGTGTGTCAGTAGCTCCACTGCCAGCAGCGGATGCTCCCTTCTCTGATGCTCACACAGCAGCACCTCCTCCTTCACCCTCTGGCTCTAGGCCTCATCTGTCTCCCCTTCAAGGCTGCTTCCTTCAGGAAGCCTTCCCTGAGGCTGGTGGCCCACGGTGATCTTTCTCTGTCCTCAGATCCCCACAGCACTGAGTGTCTATGTGAGTAGCAGGGTCTGGGACTGGACCACTTGGCAGCCCTCCTCACCCGTCCCAAAGAGTGGACAAGTACTCAGGAACATAGAGAGTTAACGGAAAATTAACCAGTGGCCTAACTAGGGCTAAGTCCAGAGGCCGCTTGGACAATAGACACACTCTGTGCTGTGTTCTTCCCCCTAAGCCCTATCCAAGGCTTCAAGTCACCACATTCCTAAAATCGCTGGGAAATTCCCGGTCAAGGGCACTTTCTTCATCCCTCCTCCCGCCCGGTCAAGGGCACTTTCTTCATCCCTCCTCCCGCCCCAAGCTGGCTGACTGTGGGCAGAGCTGCTGCCACCTGGTGTCCATCTGAACGCTTCCTTCCCGTTAAGCCATGGGCCGGTGAACTCCCACACCCCTCATCTCTGGGTGAAAGGCCTTGTTCCCACTCTTTTCCCCTGTCCTTAGGCCAGTCTCACCCAGCACACTTCAGCACTGACTGGGATTTAGCTGTGTGAGCCCTGGATTGCTCTCCATGCTGAGGTCACGGATCTCTGATAAGCTGTGGGACCCCAGCCCCAACTATCTCCAGGCCCGAGGAAGGGTCTGTTGTGCTGCCTCCTCTTCCTCTTCATTCTTTTTTTATTTTTGAAACTGAGTTTCGCTCATGTTGTCCAGGCTGGAGTGCAGTGGCAGATTTTGGCTCACTGCCAACTCTGCCTCCCAGGTTCAAGTGATTCTCCTGCCTCAGCCCCCCAAGTAGCTGCGATTACAGGCATGGCTCACCACGCCTGGCTAATTTTTGTATTTTTAGTAGAGATAGGGTTTCGCCATGTTGGCCAGGCTGGTCTCAAACTCTTGATCTCAGGTGACGACCTGCCTCCGCCTCCCAAAGTGCTGGGATTACAGGTGTGAGCCACTGTGCCTGGCCTCTTCCTCTTCGTTGTTATTCTCTCCCTTTGTAACTATATCCCCATCACCACCCTATACCCTCCCAGCTTCCTCTGGACTCCTGCTGTCACTGCCTCTCTGCCAAGGACACTGTCTGAGGCCAGCTTAAGGGCTGGGGCCAGTCAGCCCAAGATCATGGCTACCTGCCTCCTCTTGACCTTGCTTTTTCTCTGGCTCAGGCGAGGGCAGCTGTTGGAACTGTCACAGCCTGATAATCTTCCCTCGACATCAACCGCCCAGACCTCCTGGTTTCCCCTGAGTACCAGGTTGGGAAGAGCAAACAGCCCTGTGTGTGGTTTTCCTAGAATAGCAATAACCTAAATGAGATTCCCTGGATTAGGTCTCCTGCCCAGACCAGGAGCGAAGCAATCTCTGTCCAATTTGTTTGTGACGATGAGGGCCTGGCACAATAACTTGGGTCTCTTCTGCTTCTCACATTGCACCACCTACGGATCTTGAGAGCGGATATTCAAAAAGTCTAGGATGCCTGAGCTGACCTCACTTCCAGGCACTGCTGACTCTGCTAACCAAGAGGGAACCCAACATTCACGCCTAGAGATGAGAGAGATGTACTGATAGGCCTGGAGATGTGCCACTCCATCTCCTTCAAGGAAGGACAGCTGCCCAGCTGTGGGAGGGAGGACAGCAGGGTGGGTAGCAGAAAGCTCTTAATTCCTTCAGGTGGGCTTGGCTGTAGAGGGCCACCTTGTCAAGGTCACACCCTTCCTGGTACAGCCCACATGCCTTGATGGAGTGAGAAGGGAACATAAAAGCTTGGTCATTTTGGCCTGACTCAGACCAGTCTGAGTGGGTAATGCTTGTCCCGGACCTCCCCACAAGGTGTTGAAGCCCTAGTCCTGGATGTGACGGTATTGTGAGCAGGGGCTTTGGGAGGTGATTAGGTTTAGATGAGGTCGTGAAGGTAGAGATCCTATGATAGGATCAGTGCCCTTATAAGAAAAGGAAGAGATGTCAGGGATCTCCCTCTCCCCACATGCACAGAGGGAAGGCCATGTGAACCCACAGTGAGAAGGTGGCCATCTGCAAGCCAGAAAGAAAGCCCTCACCAGATACTGAATCTGCTGGCATCTTGATCTTGGACTTCCCAGCCTCCTGAACTGTGAGCAGTTGTTGTTTCAGCCATCCAGTCTATGGTATTTTCTTACAGCAGCCTGTGCTAACTAAGACAGTGGTGTCTGGTGTTTCATAGCGCGTGAGAACCTCATATCTCTTTTCCCCTGTGACTGTGCTTAGGAATTAGTCAGGCAGGAATTTCTACCTGGCAGGGTCCTGTGATAGAAACCAGCCCATCCCACCCCCACCCCCACCATGTGTAAGATGTCTATTGGATAATAACTTCTTTTGTTTGCCTAAGACCTGAATTTCTTACAAGAAAGAGAGAAGCAGCCAGGGATGTTCCACAAGGGCAAAAATTAGAGCCAACTGAGAGCTTTTAGGAGCAAAGAACAGCCAGTTATGCTTTTCTAATAATCCTCAGGCCTGGAACAAAGAACACTGAGTCTCTCTTCATGGCACAGGAGAATTAGACATGACCAGAAGCTTAATGCACAACAGATACAACTAAGCAGGCTTATTCTACTTACCAGAGATTTTCCATATGCTCGATTCCCACACAGATTTGATGTTTTGGGTTCAGAAATCCCCACTGTAACATTGAACAGAGGAGATATTACTCAGTGGTACTCTGTGTTCTGCCTCCCCCTGGCTCTGCATCAATTACCTTGTTAGCCAATCAGCCATGGCAGGGAATTCCTAAAGGCCTTTGTACCAAGCAGCAAAACCAGGCAGGAGGGTCAGGCCATGAGGCAACTGTCACTCTTCTAGGGGAGCTGGAACTAAGGCCTAAATAAGATCAGTGTGTCTATGTATGTTCATTAACTATAACAAACATATCCCTCTGGTGGAGGCTGTTGATGGGTAGAGGCTGTGCTTGTGTGTGTGGGGAGGCTGTGCTTGTGTGTGGGGGCAGGAGGTATATGGGAAACCTCTACCTTCAGCTCAGTTTTGCTGTATACCTAAAACTGCTGTACAATTAAAGTCTATTTAAAAATAAGATCACACGTGTGGATTATTTAGCACTATGTCTGCATGCAGTAGGTGCTCAGAATGTGCCTTCAGCTCTTCCTTCCTTCCCAAGGCCTCAGATCACAAGACGTTAAAGAGGTTCTCAGAGTTAAGTCTTTATCGCTGGGATCAGTTATTTAACACGGTGCTCTGGATGCCCCTCTGAAAATGGGCAGAGAACACTTCACGCGCGTGCTGGGAAGGAAGTGCAGCCGCATAATATGGAAGGACCGGAGTGTATCAGATCAGAATCGTGGGACGCTGGCTTTACGAGAGGTATGGGTGGAGAACCTTGGAGAACCTTCTTTCTAATGCCTTTATTCCTGATGCCCCAACCTAATTCTGAGTAGGTTTTGCCCTGAAGCTTCTGAGGATTCAGGTGTTGAGCTGAGGTAGCTGACAAAACATAGGGGAAAGCTGGCTTTCAGCACAGGTCTCTCTGGGGCAGGTGTCCCAGGACAAGCCCCATCTGACTGTACTACAGAATCTAGAAATAACTCCCCTCCCACAAGAAAATACCTTAATGCAAATGAAATCAAGTATTATAAGACTACCAAGATTAAACTATAATGAATGGAGCCCTGGCACAACTAATAATAATAGCAGCTCACATTTTTGTCTGTACACCAGGCACTGTGCTGAACATAAACCGTAAAAGTATTATCTCATTTAATCCTCACCACAGCCTTTCTTTTCTTTTCTTTTGAGACAGGGTCTCACTCTGTCATCCAGGCTGGAGTGCAGTGGCATGCGCAATCTCTAGCTCACTGCAGCCTTGACCTCCTGGGCTCAATCAATTCTCCTACCTCAGCTTCCGGAGTAGCTGGGACCACAGGTGCACACCACCACGCCTGGCTAATTTTTGTTTGTGGAGATAGGGTTTCGCCATGTTGCTCAGGCTGGTCTGGACTAGTCTGTACTTTCCAGTCAAGGAAACGAGGCTTTAGAGATACATAACAGTTATGATAAAGCCAGGTAAGTGTGATTTAGGGAGTAGCGAACTGACTTTGGGTGGTCTTTCAGGGTTAAGGAGGCTTGACTGAGGGACCCTCTACCCTGGCTAGGAGAAAGCGGAATTTGCAAGGTGGAGAGACACAGGGAAGGCAATCTGCAGAGAGAACAGTGTCAGGGAAAGTCCTGGGAAGCAGGATATCATGGAGCTGTCACAGAACTACTCCACGGCTCAGGGCTGTTCTACGTGATAGAACGGTGAGGACAGGGGTGTCATAGGAGGTAGCCTTGGAGACGTCAGTGTGGTCTGGAGGGCAGAGGCCAGGAGCGGACACAGTACTTAAAGCTGAGGGCGCACAGGGGCAGATTTCTGCTCTCAAGTGGACTTCTCTGGTAGCCTGGTGGGAGGGGCTGGAGGCTGGGCCCTTCACTGATGATGTTCTCTACACAGTGGAGATGAAGGGAGGGGGAGCCAGGGTAGCTCGAGGTAGGTTTCAAGAGGGCTAGGAGAGAAATACCTAGGAGTTGATGCTGTCAGTGTTTCATGTCGAAGGGGTGGGGAGGACAAGGTGGCATTAGGGAAAACATCCTGGGGACTTGCTGGGATGAAGGATAATAGCCCCCACTGAGAAGGGAGGAAAGGCTTGAACAAGTTGGTTCTGAGGTGCCTGAGGACATCTCAGAAAAAGTCCTGGAGGCAGCTAATTCTCCCAGGCCCAGGCCTGGGGACTGCCCCATTTCCAGGCACCTGAGAGTTTCTCAGTCAGGTCTCTGCATTCAGAGTTCCTACAATTCCCAAGATTCCCCGGAGCATCTTTCTCCCAGGTGAGACAGCTACTGCGTCCAGGTGCCGTCTATGGCTCAGGAAAAAAGCAGTTCCAAAATCTGAGCTCCCTGGAGACAGGCACCTTTCTTGACAGGAGGATGGTCTGGCTTTGACTCAGAAACATTCCCTCCCTCCCACCCACTCTGGAATCTATCAGATTGGAGGAGGTGAAGGAATTGAACCAATCCCCAGCCCAGTCTCTCTCTCTCTCTCTCTTTTTTTTTTTTTGAAACCTCACTGGCATATTTCCTGCATGAGCTGACTGTCACGTGCTGGGCAGATTCTCTCCATATCATAACTTATTGCTCTTGTCTTTTAGAATAAAAGACTGACTCAGGCAGCTCAAGCTTCCACAAACTACTTAGAAAGGAATGAAAGTGATCCCTAAAACTAAACAGTTGGAAAGACATTCCCTGTGAGGAAGAGGCACTAGCTAGGGAATCAAAAGACCTGAGATTTATCTTGGCTCTGTTGCTTACAAGCAGTTCGACCTTGGGTAGGTCAAACAGTTTCTATGGTTTCAGTTTCTTCTGGAAATTGGCAGAGGGGCAATTGCAGTAAATCAGAGGCTCTCTACGTTCAGGGTGCATTAGAATCACGTGGGGTGGGGGCAGTGAAGGGTGGTGGGGAGAGGGTTGTTAAAACACAGATTAATGTGCCCTAAACCTGGAGTTTCTAATTCCATAAAATTTGCATTTCCAACAATTTTCCAGGGACTGCTGCTGCTGCTCCTGGGACTCCACTTTGAGAACCATGCATTAGATCATCTCTAAATCCTTGCTGCTCAATATGTTGTGCCCAGAGCAGCAGCATCTGGAAGCTTGTTAGAAACATAAAATCTTGGGGCCTACCCAGTCCTACTATATTTGAATCTGCATAAAAACAAGATTCCTAGGTGATTCTTTTGCATATTAAAACTTGAGAAGCATGGCTCTAAACTCACTTTATGATTTTATAGAAAAGATAAATATTCTGTCTCTTCTTCTTTCCACACACACATGCACCCACCCACCCACCCACCCACCTATATATAGACACAGAGAAAAAATCTATCTCGTCTTAATTTGCAAGGCAGATTGTGGTTTTCCTAATGCTTTCAAACTCTGCATACATATACGTGTATGTAACCACTTAATAGAGAATATAGCTTGATGTATAAGTTCTTATGCAAAGGATCAGAGGAGCAGGATTAGGTTCTTAGCAATCAAAGAAATCTTGGTGGCCTGGTCTAGCATCTACAAAGGGAAAACTCAAAGATGGAAGGGACTATACTCAGTAGAGTCTTATTTCAGTTCTTGTAATATACAAAATTGCCAACGCCCAAAGGCTTTCCGAAGGACACCCTGGACTTTCTATTGTGTATTTTTGGAGTTAAAATATGAATAACTTTAGGTTGTGGGCATAACGGAAATAACCTAAACCAGCAATTAAAGGCAAAATACCATCATAGACTTGGGTGGGCTAAAGGCAGATTCCTGGTTAGCTGCTTGGGGTGGAAGCCATTAAAAAAAAAATAGTATCTAAGGTAAAACTATAATGTTTCCAGTTTTCAAGACAAACTTACTCCTACATTCTTGTTATAGATTGTTGTTTGGGTCATTCAAATTTAGAATGGTAAGATTTTATGATGGCAGTTTATGAAGAGCCTGTACAATTTTACACACACACACACACACATTCTCTCTCTCTCTCTGTGTGTGTGTGTGTTAAATAAATTATGTGAGCCTCCTTTGCTTCATGGGTCATGATTTTCTCTACCCCAGAGCATTCTGATTTACACTATCTCTAGAATACAGTAGCACCTCCTGTGGAGCAAGATGGTAGATAAGGGCCCATCTCAGTGGGTCATGCTTATAATCCCAGCACTTTGGGAGGCCTTAGCCAGTGGATCACTTGCATTCAGGAGTTCGAGACCAGCCTGGGCAATATAGCAAGACCCTGTCTTTTAAAGATAAAAAAAATTAGTTGGGCATGGTGGCTGTGCACCTGTAGTCCCAGGGAGGCTGAGGCGGGAGGAAGGCTTGAGCCCAGGGCAGTTAGCTGTGATTGCTGCCACTGTACCTGAGCCTGGGCAACACAGTGAGACCCTGTCTCAAACGAAAAAAAAAAAAAAAAAAGAAAAAAAGTATTTACTCATTACGTACACCTAGGAGTGATTGTTTATAGGTAGAAGATGTGTGGGGCTAAGGTAAGGCCTGACAGCAGGTGCTTTTGTGGTGGAAACAGCATTTACTTGGGAAAGCACAGGTGCTTGGTCACCTGGCGCGACTGAGGCCGCAGCCACCGCCAACGCTGCCCTGACCTGGGCGTGTGGGTGGCTTTGAGTGGGTCCCTGCGCCCAGGGAGGTGCGGGAAGCTGGGGCCGGGACTCACGTACCGGGTCTGGCAGAGGTTTTGGTGGGGTGGGCTGTGGGCGGCCGTGCGGTCTGGAGCCTCCCGAACCTGCGGCCGTCGCCCGGGTCCCTGCGGTCTCCGCGGTGGGGCAGCAGCTCCAGGGGCTGGTGCGTGTACAGGTCCGACTCGATCACCACCTGCCGGGCGGGGGAAGTGCGGTTAGCCCACTCCTCTGCTCGGGCCTCGGGACCCACGGTCCCCAGGGCGGGAGCTTTGCAGATGGAGCTCGCGTCGAGCAAGTTTCTTGATCCTTCCTGACTCCAGCGAATTCTAGTGGCAGCGACAAAACCTGGGCAGGAAACCGGCCAGAAGTGGCTGCTTTATTTGACTTCAGACTGCCAAATGGTGCCATGGTGCAAGCAAATGAGGGTTCTGGAGGGGGCAGGGGTGTTCCTCAACAGCAAGCCCTTCACAGAGTTAGGAGCCTGGGCCATCAGGCCAGAGATCTGGGCAGGTCAGCTGCCCCGTCGCCTGACATGTTTTGACAATAGGACAGGCCTTGAAACGAGGGCAGTTCTGGAGAGCGAGGTCTTACAGTCTTTGTAGCTGAGTGGACAACACCCTTGTTCATGCAGAGGACAACTTTTTGGATGCTCTAGCAGAGCGAAGACCTAGGGAGAGGGCTCAGGCCCAACTTAGTCTCAGGTTTTTAAAAAGAAAGAAGCTGCTGGCAAAATGGAGCAGGGGACACGGGGTGCTTTCCTACCCGCGCCCCCACTTCCCAGACCAGAGTGCCTGGGTCAGGGTGGAGCTGGGAGATGAATTTCCACTGGGTGTGGTTCTGTGCACGGAAATCTTGATAAGCCAGAACAAAGGGCCCAAAGCTAAAATGTTTTCAGTCATCACCACCTGCTGAGTAGTTATATTGGGAAGTTACTCTGTTAGAGTCCACCAAAATGGGCCTTACTTTTTTTTTTTTTTTTTTTTTTTTGAGGTGGAGTCTCACTCTGTCACCCAGTCTGGAGTGCAGTGGTGTGATCTCAGCTCATTGCTAGCTCCGCCTCCCAGGTTCACACCATTCTCCTGCCTCAGCCTCCCGAGTAGCTGGGACTACAGGTGCCTGCCACCACGCCTGGCTAATTTTTTATATTTTTAGTGGAGACGGGGTTTCACTGTGTTAGCCAGGATGATCTCGATCTCCTGACCTCATGATCTGCCTGCCTCGGCCTCCCAAAGTGTTGGGATTACAGGCGTGAGCCACCATGCCCGGCCGGTATTTTTTTTTTTTTGGAAAAGAATGTAATAAAAATACTTAAATCATTGAGATAATTTAAGTGTAAAAACTTGAGACAAATAGTAGCCATTTTATCTTACTATGGAGAGTCGTGAAGGGGAATCTTGGTAGTTTGGGCTCTGATCCTGAATATTTATATATAGGCAGGACACTGGGTCATTCATTCTGGGGGTGGGGGGGTGGGCAGCCCTTTCATCACAGCTGTTCCTGATTTTATTTTCATTCTCTCAGCATTGCTCTCAGAGAGGAGGAGTGAGGACTGCTGCGGAGTTCTCAGACCCACTTTGTAGAAGGAGGAAGTAAGGCAGGATGTGAAGCCTGGAGTCCACAGGAAGACTGCCGCTGCCTTCCAACATTTCCTCCTCTGAAAGGGAGACAAATGTTCGCTTTCAGGAACAAGAACCACCACCTCCCCATCTCTTCTCTGCATGGTGGGGAGGGAGAATGGGGAGGGAGAGAGTGGAGTGACATTAGCTGCTCAGCCCAGCAGCCAGATGGATGTAGGAGGTTTCCTGGGGCTGGCAAGGAGGCCAGCTATTTCCCAGGTTGCGACTGGGGACGTGCCTCCTCCAGCCCACCAAAGCATGCCAGTAGCAGGAAAGGAAAGAGGAGAAGGGCCCAGCTCTGAGCCTTCCTGTTTCTTAGCTGGGCCTGATACTTGGTTCTCATTTTCCACAATAACAGAGGCTCTGAGATGGCTGCAGCTCAGTGGGTTAGGCCCGTCCCAGGAAACAGACAGCTAAATGGATGCATGTGGCCTCCTGAAAGGCTCCTGGCAGCCTGGTTTATTTTCTGGTCTATAGGACACAGTCTGAGTTTGCTGCTGGTGGTCTTAGAACACACTGGTCTGAGAGGAGGCTTTTTAGCATCCTGAGTTTAGGAGCAAGATTAGAGAATTAGGATGGTGGTATGGGATGTTAATGAGCAGGGAGGAGGAGAGATAAGGGTTGAATGCTGAAAGTTTCCTTTTTTCGGCCAGCAAACTGTCAGCTGAAGTCGGGGAATGTACTAGAGTAACAAGCGTTACCACAATAAAGTAATACTCCCTTGCTGGTCATAGAGAGGTCAAGGTAGGAAAAGCAGAAGACACGAGCTAACACACAAGCCTCAGGATCCCATCCGCTGACATCTTTGATTCACACTTCTGCTTATTTGTTGCCTAGATTGCTGATAGGCAGTTAGAAAGACAGTCAAGAAGACCGAGATAATAGAGAATCACAATGCTTTGGGGCTGAGGGGATCCACAGAAATGTTCTAGCCCAATTCTAGCCTAATTTTATACATAGGGAAACTGAGGCCAAGAGAGGCCATGTGTCTTCCTCAAGACCACAGAACTGTAAGGGACAGAGCCAGGATGAGAACCATGGTTTCATGCCTCCTAAGTGCGTGTTCTTGGTAAACCCATAGAAGTGCCTACATTCAGGCTGGGCGCAGTGGCTCATGCCTGTAATCCCAGCACTTTGGGAGGATGAGGTGGCAGATGGCTTGAGCCCAGGGGTTCAAGACCTGGGCAACATGGCAAAACCCTGTCTCTACAAAAAAAAAAAAAACACAAAAATGAGCTGGGTGTGGTGCCATGTGCCTGTGGTCTCACCTACTTGGGAGGCTGAAATGGGAGGATCGCCTGAGCCCAGGAGGTTGGGGCTGTAGTGAGCTCTGACCATCCCACTGCATTCCAGCCTGGGGGACAGAGTGAGACCCTGTCTTTAAAAAAAAAGAAAGGGCCTACATCCAGATAGGAATTTTCAAGTGCAAGTGCAATTGGTTGCTCTGTGCATTTCTTTTCTTTTTCTTTCTTTCTTTTTTTTTTAATTTTGAGACGAAGTCTCACTCTGTCACCCAGGCTGGAGTACAGTGTGGCATGATCTCGGCTCACTGCAACCTCTGCCTCCCGGGTTCAAGCAATTCTCCTGCCTCAGCCTCTCAAGTAGCTGGAACTACAGGCACGTGCCACCATGCCCGGCTAATTTTTGTATTTTTAGTAGAGACGGGGTTTCACAATGTTGGTCAGGCTGAGCTCGAACTCCGATATCAGGTGATCTACCTCCCTCGGCCTCCCAAAGTGCTGGGATTATAGGTGTGAGCCACCGTGCCCGGCACTCTGTGCATTTCAAAAAATCAGGAGAACCCCACAAATATTTCTCCTCACAAGCTTGAAATCTGGGAAGAATGTGACCTTTGCAATCTCATTTATCCATCTTTTCTGATGGCTGACCGCCTGCTTATTCTGAAGGGGCCACAAATCTCCATCGTCGTTGCTCCATGCCAGAAGGCTTAACTGACCCACATCTTTGTGTAAGTTTATCCCCTTGAGCTACTCCTATGATAGTGGGCATCGGGATGATCAAAATGTCAATAAAATTGTCTAAGAATTAAACAAATTAAAGACTGGAGAGACCGTCTAGAGAAGGAACAGTGTGAGGCTTTGCCTTGAATTTGGAAGAAATACAATTCAAGAAGAGTGAGAGAGGAAGGAAAGCTGACATTAAGCATCGCTCGGGGAGGAAAGAGATATTTGAGAAGAAGGAACCTGACATCCATCCACATGGTAGTCTAAGGGATGAGAAGAGACACAAATACAAATTTGAGGCCATAGGAAGTTGTAAATATGGGTACAGTTGCAAAATAAGCATTATTTTCCTCATCAAGATAACCAGTCACAATTGCTTTTAGATCACCAAGTTGGAGAAGACAAAGACTCAAAGGGAAGCCAAGGATCAGTTGGTTAGGGACACAAGAGACCAGAGACAATTCTTTCCTTTTTGGGATTCACTTTTCCCATCTGCAAAAGAAGGAGGTGGACTAAGAGACATTGCCTGTCTTCTAATTTGAATGGTCTGTATGACTGGGGCTGAGTTTTACAAGCAGAGGCTGGGCTAAGCTAACTGTTAGGGGAAATCAGAAATTCAGAGGAAAGTGCAAAAGGCCAGAGAGCACTCCTGCGCTGTCCACCTGGAGGAAGACTGAATATGGGAAGACAAGAGCCAAACTTCTTGACCAAAAGACTGAAAGATCTGTGGTGAAACTTTCTTAAACTCCAAATTACCCACGGACAACTCCTTCTCTTTCAATTTTTGGGAATACCTCACCCACTGCTCCTTGAAAGTTGGGAGCATTTTCCTTCTAGACTTTGGGATTGAATTTTCAGGGACCATGAGAAGGATCAGAATCAGTTTCCCTACAATCAAATTTTCCATCCATTAGAAACCCTTCTCTTTCTTAACATACAACAGGTTCTCGAAAAAGGCATATAGTGCTTGCTTCAGCAACACATACACTAAAATGGAAATGATACAGAGAAGAGTACCATGGCCACTGTGCAAGGGTAACACGCAAATTCATGAAGTATTCCATATTTTTACTACACGGCCATAAAAAGGAACAAAATTGGCTGGGCGTGGTGGCTCACACCTGTAATCCCAGCACTCTGGGAGGTCGAGGCGGGCAGATCATTTGAGGTCAGGAGTTTGGGACCAGCCTTACCAACATGGTGAAACCCCATCTCTACTAAAAATACAAAAAAAATTAGCCAGGCATGATGGCGGGCACCTGTAGTCCCAGCTACTCAGAGTCTGAGGCAGGAGAATCACTTGAACCTAGGAGGTGGAGGTTGCAGTGAGCTGAGATCACACCATTGCACTCCTGCCTGGGCAACGGAGTGAGATTGTCTCTCAAAAACAAAAAAACAAAACAAAAAAACCCAATAAAACAAACAAAAAATCACATCCTTTGCATCAACATGGATGCAATGCAGCTGGAGGATATTATCCTAAGCAAAATAACACAGAAACTGAAAACTATATACTGCATGCTCTCACTTTTAAGTGGGAGCTAAATATTGGGTACACGCAGACACAAAGATGGAACTAATAGACACTGGGAACTCCAAAAAGGAGGAGAAAGGGAAGGGGGAAAGGGTGGAAACACTACCTATTGGGTATTATGTTCACTACTTAGGCGATGCTATCATTAGAAGCCCAAATCTCAGCATCATGCAATATACTTATGTAAAAAACCTGCGCACATACCCCCTAAATCTAAAATAAGGAAAAGGCATATAACTGAGAGAAATATAGGCAAAAGACATGAGTAAGAAACCTGTAGGGAAAAAAACGTTGAAATGATCAATACATCTATGAAAAGACAAAGAATCACATCAATAATTATAGAAGTACAAATTAAACAGGATATGTTTACCTATCTGATTGTCAAAGACTAACAACATTGATGCCACACAGTATAGGCTCAGCTGTTCTGGAAAAGCTGTTTTAAAACGTAATTGCTAGGAATTTGTCAATGGCTATAAAATTGTTTCAATGTTTATCTCCTTTGGCCTAGGATTTTCATATCTATAAATTTATCCTCAGAATCATTTAAGAACATAAAAATATGTTCAAGAATTTGTTGTGGCATTATTTAATAGAAAAAAATGGGGAGCCCTATTTATTGATAATTTGGTTAAATAATGAATCTAGAAAACTTCAGGTTTGGTTTGGGTAAAACAAATTATAGCGCATTCATACAATGTTGTATTATACAGCCGCTATAAAGAATGAGGTAGGCCAGGCATAGTGGGTCAGGCCTGTAATCTCAGCACTTTGGGAGGCTGAGACACTAGGTTTGCTTGAGTCCAAGAGTTCAACACCAGCCTGGGCAACATGACAAAACCCTATCAAAAATAATAATAGTAATAATAATAAATAAAGATTTAAAAATGTTTGTGTATATAAAAAAAGAATAAGGTAAAGCTATACGGATGAATTGGCATAGAAAGATATTCAAGATTTATTAAGAGAAAGAAGCAAATTGCAAAGCAGTACATTATCAGATAATAAGGCATAATATAGTTTAGTATATGGAAAGTTTTCACTTAAAAAAAAAAAAAAAAAAACCTGGGCAGGGCGTAGTGGCTCACGCCTGTAATCCCAGCACTTTGGGAGGCCGAAGTGGGCAGATCACCTGAGGCCAGGAGTTCAAGACCAGTCTGGCCAGCGTGGTGAAACTCCATCTCTACTAAAAATATTTTTAAAAATAGCTGGGCATGGTGGTGGGTGCCTCTAATCCCAGCTACTCAGGAGGCTGAGGCAGAAGAATTGCTTGAACCCAGGAGACAGAGGTTTCAGTGAGCCGACATGGTGCCACTGCCCTCCAGCCTGGGCAACAGAGTGAGACTCTGTCTCAAAACAAAACAAAACAACAACAACAAAAAAACCAAAACCAACCAAACAAACAAACAAAAAACTGGCTGGGCACTGTGGCTTACACCTGTAAATTTCAGCACTTTGGGAGGAGGCCGAGGCGGGGAGATTGCTTGAGTCCAAGAGATTGAGACTAGACTGGGTGACATAGTGAAATCCTGTCTCTACTAAAAGTACAAAAATTAGCTGGGTGTGGTGGCCCATGCCTGCAGTCCCAGATACTCGGGAGGCTAAGAAGGGAGGATCACTTGAGCCCAAAGGGGTCAAGACTGTGGTGAGCTAAGACCATGCCATTGCACTCCAGCCTGGGGGACAGAGTGAGACCCTGTCTCAAAAAAAAAAAAAAAAAAAAAAAAAAAAAAAAAAAAAAATGCCCAATACTTATTGAATGCTTATATGTGTCAGGCTCTGGACTAAACATTTTATATGCATTAAATCATTTGCCAAAAAATGAGAAAAAAATTAAAAAAAATAAATGTGGCTTTTGTTGCAGAAGAAAAAAAAATCATTTGCTCCTTTCCATGGTTCTTGAGATATGTTCTCTTATTATCCTTATTTTAATGCTAAGGAAGTTGAGTTCCACAATAGCTAAGCAACTTGCTCAGGGTCGCATAGCTAGAAATGGATAGAACTGGGATTTAAACCCAGGCCATCTGACTCTGAAGTCTACATATCTAACCCCTCTCTTCTGTAGCTTCTCAGGATTTGCTGATAGTATACAGTAGTCCCCTTTCATCTATGGTTTCAGTTACCCTTGGTCAAGTAGGGTCTGAAAATATTAAACAGAAAATTCCAGAAATATTCCATAGGTTTTAAATTTTGCACCATTTGGAAAAGTGTGATGAAATCTCACACCAATCCACATGGCCCCTCCTGGGGCATGAATCATCTCTTTGTCCAGGGTCTCCATTCTGTGGACAACCTCCACTTGTTAGTCACTTAGTAGCCATCCCGGTTATTAGATTTAAAGGACATAGTGATACAGGGTTTAGTACTCTCCATGGTTTCAGGCATCCACTAGAGGTTTTGGAACATATTTCCTGCAGATAAGGGGGGACTACTGTATTGTATAACATTTTATATAGCATATACTGCTTTTGGATATAAAAAGGTAATACATTTATATACATGTATATATTTACATGTATAGTATATGTACATGTTATATGCAAACAACAGCTAGTAAAACTCCATCTCATTCAAAGAACATTAATTTTTTTTTTTTTTTGAGGCAGGATCTCACTGTTTGCCCAGGCTGGAGTACAGTAGCATGACCATGGCTTACTGTAGCCTTGAACTCCCCGGCTCACATGATCCTTCAATTTCAGCCTCCCAAGTAGCTAGGACAACAGGAGCATAGCACCATGCCTGGTTAATTTTTTTTTTTTTTTTTTTTTTTTTTTTTTTTTTTTGAGATGGAGCTGCTCTGTTGCCCAGGCTGGAATGCAGTGGCACGATCTTGGCTCACTGCAACCTCTGCCTCTCAGGTTCAAGCAATTCTCCTGCCTCAGCCTCCTGAGTAGCTGGGATTACAGGTATGCGCCACCATGCCCAACTAATTTTTGTATTTTTGGTAGAGATGGGGTTTCTCCATGTTGGCCAGGCTGAGCTTGAACTCCTGACCTCGGGTGATCCGCCCACCTCGGCATCCCAAAGTGCTAGGATTACAGGCCTGAGCCACTGCACCTGGCCGCCTGGATAATTTTTTGACTTTTTTTGTAGAGTCGGGGTCTCATTATGTTGCCCAGGCTGGCCTCGAATTCTTGGGCTCTAGCTAACCTCCTGCTTCAACCTCCCAAAATGCTGGGATTATAAGTGTGAGCCACAGTGCCCAGTCAAAAAACATTTTTAATGGAGAATAGGCTTTTGAAAATTGAGATACTTCAAAAATTGAAAGGCTATCCTATGAAAAATTGTCGACCGGCCGCGGTGGCTCAAGCCTGTAATCCCAGCACTTTGGGAGGCCAAGACGGGCAGATCACGAGGTCAGGAGATCGAGACCGTCCTGGCTAACACGGTGAAACCCCGTCTCTACTATAAAAAGACAAAAAAACTAGCCGGGTGAGGTGGCGGGCGCCTATAGTCCCAGCTACTCGGGAGGCTGAGGCAGGAGAATGGCATGAACCCAGGAGGCAGAGCTTGCAGTGAGCTGAGATCCAGCCACTGCACTCCAGCCTGGGCGACAGAGCAAGACTCTGTCTCAAGAAAAAAAAAAAAGGAAAAATTGTCATAGAAATAGAAACTCCAGTACAACCAAGAGGAGACAATTCAGTTTCAACTTTAAAGCACAAAGATGTATTGACAGTTTTTATGTAAAGACATTTATATATAAAATGGGAATTGCACAGCATTATTAGGCTCTAAAGACATGTAAGCTAATTTTAGAGTAAGGCATACGCATGTTAAAGCAGCAAAACATAATACAAAAAGAGGAAAGCCAATGCTGGTGATGTTGGTGGTAAATGGACAAGCACTACTGGAAACCCCCCAGTTGTTCAGAATTCCTGACAGTATGTGACAAAACTGTAAAAAGAACTAGTTTGAGCAAATCACAATTCTCTACATCTAGCACAATGTTTGTCACACACAGTAGGAATGCAAATATTTGATGAAGGAGTGGATGGATGGATGAAATTGTTCTTATCCTTTTACCTGTTTATTCTACTTTGAGGCCTATGCTCTGAGGAATTAATCCAAAAGAATAGTATTTTGGCCAGGTACAGTGGTTCATGCCTATAATCCCAGCACTTTGGGAGGCCAAGGCAGGTGGATCACGAGGTCAGGAGAGCAAGACCATTCCGGCCAACATGGTGAAACCCCGTCTCTACTAAAATACAAAAAATTAGCCGGGTGTGCTAACATGCGCCTGTGGTCCCAGCTACTTGGGAGGCTGAGACAGGGGAATCCCTTGAACCCTGGAGGCGGCGGAGATAGCAGTGAGCCAAGATTGCGCCACTGCACTCCAGCCTGGTGACAGAGCGAGACTCCGTCTCAAAAAAAAAAAAAAAAAAAAAAAAAGAATAGTATTTTATATAAATACATTCATTGATGTGCTATTAATAATAGTTAAAAAAAAATGGAACATTATGAATGCCAACAATAGGAAAATACCTAGATCAGGAATGCTATGTCCATATCATGGACTCTGTTTAAACAAGAAAAAAAAAATGTGTGCATAAAACAAGGCTTACTCTCTGTGCCTGGAGAAAATGGCAGAATAAGAGGTCCAGTTCTGGGTCACTCGGTGTCTGGTTGACATTTGTCAATTATTTTGGTTAAGTGGAGAGCAGAGAGTGCAGCACCCACCACACGGAACACTGAAACCCTCCTGGCCACTGAGAGCTGGGGAGGGAGAGTGAAGAAGCCTGGCATTGCTTTTTAAATGAAAGTCAACCAAACAGCATCAAAACTAAAGTTTCCTTACATTCTTGGTCAAGAGGTGTTGAGAGCTTTTGGCTCTTCTTCTGGCTGGACTGGATACTGCAAAGACAGAGAGAAAGAAATGGTTTTAGACAACACCAGCGAGGCTGACATAGCTATAGTAACAACACTAAGAAGGCTTGAATCTCTGGCAAGGCAGGGGCATAGAGGAGGAGATGGCAAAAAGAGACAGGGTCATTGCGATCGAAGATGTTACTTGGCTTGAGTACAGAGTTCATAGCTGCATTACTCACAAGAGCTGAAGTTTGGGAACAACCCAAATGTCCACCAACAGATGAATGAATAAACAAAATATGGTGTCTATATGTGATGGAATATTACTCAGCCTTGAAAAGGAATGGAATTCTGATACATGCTACACATGGATGAACCTTGAACACATGGCACTAAGTGAAATAAGCCGGACACAAAAGGTCACATAGTCTACGATTCCTCTTGATATGGGGTTCCTAGAGTAGTCAAATTTATAGAGACAGAAAAACAAACAAAAGGACAAAAAACCAAATTTGTAGAGACAGAAAGTAGGATGGTGGTTACCAGTGGCTGGAAGAGTGGGGGAATGAGTTAGTGTTCAATGGGTTCAGAGTTTTAGTTTGGGATAATGAAGAAGCGATAGGATGGATGGGGGTGATGGTTGCATAACAATGTGAATAGACTTAATGCCACTGACCTGTACCCTTAAAATAGTTTTTAAAATGGTACATTTTGTTATGCATATTTTACCAGAATTATAAAAATACTTAAAGAAATTAACCATTAAAAATGTTACTTGGTTGGGAAAAGGTGTGGATTTTGTTGAAAATGGAGACACCAGGCGTCTGTTTTCCATGTTGCTGCTAGGATGATCCACCTACAACTTAAATCCCACCATGTCCCTGCCCGGCTTAGAACAGAAATGACTTCGTGTCAAATATCAGATGAGTGACAGACGAGTGCTGGCCTTGTTATCTTCTGCAAAGCCTGAGAAGCCTGCAGAAACGAATGCTGGTTAGCAGCCAGAGCTCCTGGCTCCCTCCCTTGGCTTGGTGTGAATCTGAACTTGATGCTTTGCCAGTTACCAGCTATGCGACTTGGTTAAATCTCTCTCTCTCTCAATCTCTCTCTCTCTCTGTCGCACTTTCCTCCCTTCAAGACAGGGATCATAATGGCACCTACCTCAGAAAGCTATGGCAAAGATTAAAGGAACTCATCCTTAAAAAATCCTTGGTCTAGCACCTGATGAGGAATGAATTCCCAGGAATCAGAGGTAGTTATGATTTTCCTCTTTTTTCTGCAAGATGAGGGCAGGTGGGAGGAGTAGGTGATGGCTACAGATGATAGCATTCTGTTAAGATTTCTCTTTCTGGAACATTCCATGTTTCCTCCTGCTATTCCCCAATTCCCCTCACCACCCCTTCCCCATTGTTGCTTATCCCAAATGAATTATTTTGAATGCTATGGTGTTGTTCACCCAGAGTTAAATCCACTGAAATAACTTCTGGCACAACTTTTTCATAAAACCACGACGTTTATCTATTGTAGTTACTGTGAATTGTGCTGATGAAATCTTTCCCTTAAAGGGCTCTCATCCTTTCAAGAAAGTAAAACCACACACATGTTCTCACTTACAGGATTGGTCTATGTCTGTGCCTTTCAAAATACTTAAGAAGCAACATAATATTTGCTATTGCCATATTTTGGGGAGGTTTTAAGATGGCTCAGTTAAAAAAATGTGTATGTAGATATTGGGCTGAACTCAATATGTATGTGTTGGAAACAGGGATGTAATACAAAAACAATAAATGTAATGATGGCTCACGTTGCACTACCCTGGGTGATGGCTTGTTTATCTCTTTTACAGCAACTTCACAAGGTAGCTACTCTTTGTGAACTCCCCTGCACAGATGGGGATGCCTGAGGGATAGAGGGGCCACACAGTCGATGTTGGAACAAGGCCCACACTCCTAACCACCAGGCTGCACTGCCCATACTGCTGAGGTTGTACTGGGGAAGGTTTGGTTACTGAACATCCTTAAGCATGGCTAACCCGCAGCCTTTGGGAAACGGCACACCAGGGAGGAGCCCTTGTTAGATAGAATCAAGCGACTCTATTTATACAGTTAGGGGATATGGAATGTAATGAAGAATTATCACTCTCTCTCATGAGTGGCGACTCAAGACCTGCTAGCGCTGTCTTCTCTCATGGAGAGCCCTGTTTGGAGGCTTTGGAGAAGGCCAGTGAGGCCAGGCAAGAAGTGAGAAGAGGTGGACTTAATTCATCCATGATCTAATACAAAATGGCCATAATCCTTTTCTAGAGAACAGCTTCCTGAGCAGTGAAATGTCCGTGAATACCAGTGAATACTTTGTTTAATACCAGGAGGTGGCCATGAATGAAAATGACAAGGAAAAAAGATAAGATTACATATTTATCTTTGACGGATCATGTTGATTATTGTAAATACAAAATAAAATTGGAAATCACTTTGTAAGTGATGTATTTAATGGTGCTAACTACATGCCAGCTACTGTTCTAAATGCTTTATATACATACTCATTTATTCCCCATATGATCCTGGAAGATAAGTTGTTTCTCCCATGTATAGCAGTGGAAACTCAGGCCCAGAGAGGTTAAGTAGCTTGCCCAAGGTCAAACAGTGCAGAAGTGGCAGCAGTCCCTTAACCACTTGGTCTTTCACTTTTTCTCCCTTTAAAAATTTTGTAAAGGGAAATGAATGATAGAAAATAAACACATGTAACATTTTCATATTTGCTTCTACTTTGTTTTCTTCTCATATACAAGAAACACAAAATCAGAGGCAAGGTTTTGGTTCTCTTTCTACCCTTCCCTAATTCTCCTTTCCAACCTTCCCAAGGCTACTGAGATCACTAATTTTATCTGTATCTTTCTGGTGTATGTTTTAGTATTTTTCTGTAGATACATATCCATAAACAATATATAGTATTGGTTTATATTTTCAAATTTACAGAAATGCTATCATACATATATAATTTTTCAGCCTGCGTGTTTGGCAGTCAGCATTATGCTTAGATCTACCTATGTTCATATGCATACATCTAGTTTATTACTGTTGACAATGTATAGTATTCCATAGCATGATGGCACCACATTTTAACCATTCCCCTCTTCATGGACACTTAGGTTATTTTCAGTTGTGCCCTCTTAGAACCAATGGCACTGTGAACATCCTGGGGTAAGAGGAGTTCCACCCAAAAGCGAAACTACTGATTCCCAGGGTCAACTTGGACTTGCAGAGTTTCCAGAGGGAATTCCAACTCCTGCACGTGGGCGGCAGACTCCCAGCTCTTTTCCCTCTCTCTGGATCTGGCAGTAAATGTCTAAAGCTTAATTTATGTCCTGCAGGCTGTCTCTTTGTGGCCAAACGGAATCTCTCCCTCCCCTGCTGTGCAATGGCCCTGTCGGCGGCTGACACAGGGGAAGAAAGGAATTGTTTGAATGTGGACTCACAACACCAGCAAACACCCAGCCCACTTCATTCAAGGCTGACAATGAGACCAGGGGCTAAGCCTGAGTCATGGGGATGGATGGGAGGGGGCAAGACAGGAGCGCAGGCAAAGAGCAGAGGCGGCAGGAGAGGGGGCCATGCTTAGGAGGGGGTGAGGGGACTGCCCAGGAACCAGACACTTGGACTCATCAGAACCCTCACACAAAGCCCTTAACGCCATTCACTGAGGACCACAAGAGCTTATAAAGTCAAGATTCTCGTGTCGCATTCTCTGGCAGCATTAGTCGCAGGTTAAGTTTGCAAGGTGGCCCTGGGTTCTGTGGAGAAGCCAGTCCAGGGTCAGGGCGCTCTCTGCTTCATTGGACTTCAAGCAGCCGCCGGGAGTATTTCTCCGCACATTGCATGGCACAGTTAGAAGTCATACTTTTAAGCCAGCTGTTCTCATTTCAGAACCCACTTGCTCACTGGAAAAAATGAAAGTCTCTATCTAGCTGCCCCGGGATTTTGTTTTCACCTGTGTCTGCAGCAATTGCTTGCTGTCACTTCCATTGTTGTACTGGACTGCTGGTCCTGAATTTAATGAAACAGGGAGTATTTAGCTGCTCTCGCCTTCCCCTTGATGGATTGTTTCTCAGTGATTGATGTTTATCCTTGTGCCTCTTTCCCCCCTTCAAAAAATCAAATACCATCAAAACAGAGAGTCCGTCAGACCCCAGAGACCTGAGGATAAACCGTAGTAAGGCAGCATGTGACTGTCCTTCCCCTCCTGCCTAATATGCCACGTTAAGGAAACGGTCAAGGGCAATTTCACTCACCCTTGGAAGGAATCACGGTGGTGAAAACTTCTATGTTCTCGTCACTGCAGCTGTAAATCTGATGCATCATTTCAGCCTTCTCTTCCCGAAGTGCCTGGCAACTGGAGGCCTCTGTCTCTGGACCCCTAGTCGCGAGGCATCCTAATCCAGTCTGGCTCAGGGATCATTGTGCGGGTCCACAAAAGACAGGCTGGTGCTGTGAGCTCATCTCGTTCCAGTCTTCACTGCAACATTTTCTAAACCCATCTGTCCTTTTTTTTTTTTTTTTTTTTTTTTTTTTTTTTTTTTAAATGAATCCTATTATTGCAAACTTTTGATTGAGCCTGGAGGCTTCAATCCCCTCCCAGCTAGGATGTATTTAACATTTTTATTTTGCGGTGTCTGCCGCAGTGAATTTGGAAGTCTTTTGTGAGGTGACGATGAAGTGAAATCGCCTACTCCGTTAGCGTCAAGCTTGGCTGGAGAATTTCCACCAAAAAGGAAACGTGAATTTTGGTACCAGCAATTCCCTTTCTCATTTCAGAAATGAAGGGATTTTTTTTTTCTCCCCTCCAGGAGAACGGGATATTCAGTCATGTGCTAACTTGGCTCCCTTAGAAGTTTCTATTTTAAACAAAAGGACTATTTCTCCAGAGTTGTTTTCCCCTCATGCCACTACATGACAAGGCTGACATTTCTCAAGGGTCGTGTGTTTGGTACCTCCGCGTATAACCCTTAGGTGCTCACAGAGACATGGCAACAGGCAGTGCCCCATGCTCAAGAAGCCAATTATAGAAAGTTATATTTGTATTACCCTATATATCCTAATATATTTGTTATCTTATAAACCCTATTGTGCTACATATACAGGTTACAGGTTATATACTGTCCCATACATCATACACATTATATATGTATGTATATCATATGTATATATGTATGTGTATATGTATCATATATTTGTATATATACATATGTGTATATGTATATATAGCATATGTATATATTTGCATTACCCTATATATCCTAATATATTTATCCTATATATTTATTATCTTATAAATCCTATTATGCTACATATACAGGTTACAGGTTATATACTGTTCCATATATCATATATAATGTGTATACATGATATCATATATAATGTGTATACATGATATCATATATAATGTGTATACATGATATCTATATATCATCTGTTTATATGTGATATCATATATGTGATATATGCACAACGATCCCTAAGCCAGACTGGATTAGGATGCCTCGCGACTAGGGGTCCAGAGGCAGAGGCCTCCAGTTGCCAGGCACTTGAGGAAGAGGAGGCTGAAATGATGCATCAGATTTACAGCTGCAGTGACCAGAACATAGAAGTTTTTACCACCGTGATTCCTTTCAAGGGTGAGTGAAATTGCCCTTGACCGTTTCCTTAACGTGGCATATTAGGCAAGAGGGGAAGGACAGTCACATGCTGCCTTACTACGGTTTATCCTCAGGTCTCTGGGGTCTGACGGACTCTCTGTTTTGATGGTATTTGATTTTTTGAAGGGGGGAAAGAGGCACAAGGATAAACATCAATCACTGAGAAACAATCCATCAAGGTGAAGGCAAGAGCAGCTAAATACTCCCTGTTTCATTAAATTCAGGACCAACAGTCCAGTACAACAATGGAAGTGACAGCAAGCCATTGCTGCGGACACAGGTGGAAACAAAATCCCAGGGCAGCTAGATAGACGATATCATATGCATATGATGTCCTATGTATGCCCTGTATTTTATATATTCTGTATGTATATACACACAAATAAGGTTATGGTTGAAACATGTATCGTGCCAAACCCACTGCATTTTATTACACTGTTACAACTTCTTCATACTAATACTGATGGTGATGAAATAATAATGAGAGTTGCCATTTATTAAATGCTTGCTATAAGTTAGGTAGCCTGATATACAATTTCATTTAATATCTACAACTACCCAATGAGACAGCTATTATATTTGCCATCTTATAGGTGAGAAAACTGAGGCATAAAGCCACCGAGTAATTCTTGTGAGATTAAAATATCTAGTTTGTGGTAGAATTCGGATTTAATCCCTAGTTTGACTCCAAAGTCAAATGTACTTAACCGGGCCAGGCGCAGTGGCTCACACCTGTAATCCCAATACTTTGGGAGGCCAGGACAGGAGGATCACTTGAGCTCAGGAGTTTGAGACCAGCCTGGGCCACATGGCGAAACCCCATATCTACCAAAAATACAAAAAATTAGGCGGGCTTGGTGGTCTGTGCCTGTGGTTCCAGCTACTCAAGGCTGAGGTGGGAAGATTGCTTGAGCCCAGAAAGCACAGGTTGCAAAGAGCCAAGATTGTGCCACAGCACTCCAGCCTGGGTGACAGAGCCAGACCCCATTTAAAAAAAAAAATTCATAATCACTAAATTTTAATATATTCTTTATCTCCTGTCAATCCAAATAACAAAGAGAAGCTCTCTAAAAATATGTAGTTTAATTGGGAATTGCAGGACACAGATGCTATGATAAACATAGGCACATCCAGGGAGGCTGAGGTAAGGAGAAGTTTTAAAGGCAAAAGAGTACATGTAGATTGTTTTGAAACAAACAGAACATTGGTTACAAGGGTTTATGACAGGAGTTGTTGTCAGTTCCTTTTTTTTTCTTTTTAGTGGGTTACAGAAAATTCTTTTTAAAAAATTATTTATAATTATTATTTTTTATTATTATACTTTAAGTTCTAACTCATCATTTACATTAGGTATATCTCCTAATGCTATCTCTCCCCCCATCCCACGACAGGCCCGGGTGTGTGATGTTCCCCTTCCTGTGTCCAAGTGTTCTCATTGTTCAATTCCCACCTATGAGTCAGAACATGTGGTGTTTGGTTTTCTGTCCTTAAGATAGTTTGCTGAGAATGATGGTTTCCAGCTTCATCCATGTCCCTACAAAAGACATGAACTCATCCGTTTTTATGGCTGCATAGTATTCCATGGTGTAAATGTGCCACATTTTCTTAATCCAGTCTGTCACTGATGGACATTTGGGTTGATTCCAAGTCTTTGCTATTGTGAATAGTGCCACAATAAACATACGGGTGCATGTGTCTTTATAGCAGCATGATTTATAATCCTTTGGGTATATCCCCAGTAATGGGATGGATGGGTCAAATGGTAGTTCTAGTTCTAGATCCTTGAGGAATTGCCACATTGTCTTCCACAATGGTTGAACTAGTTTACAGTCCCACCAACAGTGTAAAATTTTTCCTATTTCTCCATATCCTCTCCAGCACCTGTTGTTTCCTGACTTTTTAATGATTGCCATTCTAACTGATGTGAGATGGTATCTCATTGTGGTTTTGATTTGCATTTTCTCTGATGGCCAGTGATGATGAGCATTTTTTCATGTGTCTGTTGGCTACATAAATGTCTTCTTTTGAGAAGTGTCTGTTCATATCCTTTGCCCACTTTTTGATGGGGTTGTTTGATTTTTTTCTTGTAAATTTGTTTAAGTTCTTTGTAGATTCTGGATATTAGCCCTTTTTCAGATGGGTAGATTGCAAAAATTTTCTCCCATTCTGTAGGTTGCCTGTTCACTCTGATGGTAGTTTCTTTTGCTGTGCAGAAGCTCTTTAGTTTAATTAGATCCCGTTTGTCAGTTTTGGCTTTTGTTGCCATTGCTATTTGTGTTTTAGACATGAAGTCCTTGCCCATGCCTATGTCCTGAATGGTATTGCCTAGGTTTTCTTCTAGGGTTTTTATGGTTTTAGGTTTAGCATTTAAGTCTTTAATCCATCTTGAATGAATTTTTGTATAAGGTGTAAGGAAGGGATCCAGTTTCAGCTTTCTACATACGGCTAGCCAGTTTTCCCAGCACCAATTATTAAATAGGGAATCCTTTCCCTATTTCTTGTTTTTGTCAAGTTTGTCAAAGATCAGATGGTTGTAGATGTGTGGTATTACTTTTGAGGGCTCTGTTCTGTTCCATTGTTCTACATCTCTGTTTTGGTACCAGTACCATGCTGTTTTGATTACTGTAGCCTTGTAGTATAGTTTGAAGTCAGGTAGCATGACTCCTCCAGCTTTGTTCCTTTGGGTTAGGATTGTCTTGGCAATGCAGGCTCTTTTTTGGTTCCACATGAATTTTAAAGTATTTTTTTGTTCCAATTCTGTGAAGAAAGTCATTGGTGGCTTGAAGGGGATGGCACTGAATCTATAAATTACCTTGGGCAGTATGGCCATTTTCACGATATTGATTCTTCCTATCCATGAGCATAAGCATGGAATGTTCTTCCCTTTGTTTGTCTCCTCTTTGACTTCGTTGAACAGTGGTTTGTAGTTCTCCTTGAAGAGGTCCTTTGCATCCCTTGTAAGTTGGATTCCTAGGTATTTTATTCTCTTTGAAGCAATTGTGAATAGGAGTTCACTCATAATTTGGCTCTCTTTTGTCTGTTATTGGTGTATAGGAATGCTTGTGATTTTTGCACATTGATTTTGTATCCTGAGACTTTGCTGAAGTTGCTTATCAGCTGAAGGAGATTTTGGATTGAGACGATGGGGTTTTCTAAATAAACAATCATGTCATCTGCAAACAGGGACAATCTGACTTCCTCTTTTCCTCACTGAATATCCTTTATTTCTTTCTCTTGCCTGATTGCCATGGCCAGAACTTCCAACACTATGTTGAATAGGAGTGGTGAGAGAGGGCATCCCTGTCTTGTGCCAGTTTTCAAAGGGAATGTTTCCAATTTTTGCCCATTCAGTGTGATATTGGCTGTGGGTTTGTCATAAATAGCTCTTATTATTTTGAGATACGTCCCATCAATATCTAGTTTATTGAGAGTTTTTAGCATGAAGGGCTGTTGAATTTTGTTGAAGGCCTTTTCTGCATCTGTTGAAATAATCATGTGGTTTTCATCTTTGGTTCTGTTTATATGCTGGATTACATTTATTGATTTGCATATGTTGAACCAGCCTTGCATCCCAGGGATGAAGCCCACTTGATAATGGTGGATAAGCTTTTTGCTGTGCTGCTGGATTTGGTCTGCCAGTATTTTATTGAGGATTTTTGCATCGATGTTCATCAGGGATATTGGTCTAAAATTCTCTTTTTTTTGTTGTATCTCTGTCATGCTTTGGTATCAGGATGATGCCGGCCTCATAAAATGAGTTAGGGAGGATTCCCTCTTTTTCTATTGATTGGAATAGTTTCAGAAGGAATGGTACCAGCTCCTCCTTGTACCTCTGGTAGAATTTGGCTGTGAATCCATCTGGTCCTGGACTGTTTTTGGTTGGTAGGCTATTAATTATTGCCTCAATTTCAGAGCCTGTTATTGGTCTATTCAGGGATCAACTTCTTCCTGGTTTAGTCTTGGGAGGGTGTGTGTGTCCAGGAATTTATCCATTTCTTCTAGATTTTCTAGTTTATTTGTGTAGAGGTATTTATAGTATTCTCTGATGGTAGTTTGTATTTCTGTGGGATTGGTGGTGATATCCCCTTTATGTTTTTTTACTGTGTCTATTTGATTCTTCTCTCTTTTCTTCTTTATTAGTCT